ATCTGAGTAAATTCTACAGTTGTGACAGACAACTTACTCTTCTCACCTAAGAACGTGTCTTAGAACACTGTAGTCTGAGAGGCTGAGTGAGTAAACAATCCTTTCTTCCTAGATCTTCATCTGCTGGTGGACGTGGCTTGCAAGCAGGAGCACTTTCCAAAGGAAGAAGAATTAAAAGAGTGAGGAGTGGATGCCAAATGTGACGTTGTGCACTAGCTGTAGCTGGAGGCAGACTAGCCTGGCACATGACACACTGTTGGGATTTTTTCAGTTCTGTTAAGGAAAAAAAAAAGTATTTTTTGTTTTGTTAATTGAAAATTTTCTTCATTGAGAATTGGGAATTTGGTATTTATTACAGCTGTTCAGTTCAGATAATATACCTTGACAAAATACTAAACATCTAAGCAGCCGTGCTTTTTTGCTGCTCAGATCCCTTCCACATGAAAAGTCCTGGCCTTCTGTTACAGTCCAGAAGCATCTGAGAAGCGCGGCATCTACAGCACTGGAGAGCAACGTGTGTGTGCGCCTACCTGTCGTGCTGCCGCTCTCAACTGGCAGTCAGCACAGCTTCCGGGTCAAGGGGCTCTGTCTGTTCAAGCGATGGTGTGATCCTTTCAGAGACAGACGCATGAAGTCACCAAGATCACACGTTTAAATGGGTCAGAAATTCTAGGGAAGAAACTTGGGGAGAGAGCTAATCTTCTGACTGATTTAACCAGGAAATTCTCTTACTTTCCAACCCAGCATCCTGTTTCAAGAGCAAGGCGCCCAGTTTTGGATTATCCATCACACTCAACAGCTCCTGATTCTTTTATATTATGGGGAGCATTCTTGTATTTTCCTAGCTTTAATTTTATTGAAACATTATCATAAATGATAAAGTTTTGTTGATATGTCACTTATTTAAATGTCTTATAAAGAAAATATTTAACTTGTTTAATATAGCTGTATTTATAAATGCTGATAGTGTTAATGGTTCTAAAACTTTATATTTTTATTAATATTTCAGAATGGAAGGATAAAGGATACATATGTAATTTATTTTGAGGGGGAAATATACAATATGTGAACAAAACCATTAAGAGATTTAGCAGTGTTTTCTTATTTTGTATTTTTGCACTCAGTAAGTATAAAATCCTCGCCTACGTAAGGTTTTGTGTGCCAGTTTGGGGGAAAACTGATTAGCAGTCATTTGACAGAAGCTTTGCCTTGGATATTTCCTAGTAACCTGTATTTGGTTTAAGCGTCTGGGAGATTTTTGGGTAGTGTGCTAGACTGTGTCATTTTTTTCTTTCCTCTCTCTATAGGGTTCTGAATCTGAGCAGTAGGCTTGTGGGACTGTTCCTTAGGAGAGGTGTGCATCTTGGATGCCCGGTTTCTGTGGTTGTACAACCAGTAACCTCAAGAAACTTTTTGATCTGAAATCTTTTAAATTGGCTAGAGTTTATTGAGTTCTGAGTTATGGAGTTACTGGGTTGTGCCTCAGTTTTTCCAAACAAGCACTGCAGAAACAAAAGAAAAGCCTAGGAATATGAAAGCAATGAGAAAGAAAAGGTACTTGTGACATGACTTAAGCACTTTGTTAGCTACTGTGGTATTACAGGTCATTTTTCAAAATTGCATTGTGCCTTTCCAATGATGTTAAATCCTAAAAATGTTGAGATCTAGGGTTCTTTTTCTCATTTTTTTTCTTTTTAAATAAAAAGGTGAACTCTGTGTTGGTCTGCAGCAACTCAGTTTAAATAGGAAAATAGGTTCTGAAAATTGACCCATCTAATCTGTCTGATTAGACTAGTTGATGTCCATGTCATGGACATTTATTCATCTTTAATAGCTTAAAGGATGAACAGATTATCACGATTTCTCTTTCAGCTGGGCTATATAATTTGGCAAAATATGTGAAGAGGAGACCCAATTTCCTAATGAAGGAACTTTACTTTTTGACTGTCATGTTCAAGAGCTGGTAAACTGTGTAGGTAATAATCTTACCCTTCAACCTGCCTTTCTTAGTTTTGTATTTGTTGGAAGTGATATCTTTTTGAGGAATATGTATCAAGCAGGAACCTTGGCATTGATTTGGTTTTGATGGTTTTAAGGCTTACCTAATGAAATGCCTTACTAAACTTTCCAAGCTTTTTTTTCTTTTTCTTTTTCTTTCTTTCTTTCTTTTTTTTTTTTTTTTTTAATACTTGAATACAACAGACCAAGGAGCTGGATCTCCTGCTGTACTCACATGCCTGATACCTATCAACTACAGCTGTCATCGGAGACTTAGGCAAAAATGGCAAAAGGTAAAATAAAATCCTCAGTAGGGGCTCTGATCCATATTAACTAGTTTCCTGACTAGCACCTCAGTACTCCAGCACCTTAAGCATCAATAGATTTCAGTCAGTCAACAATAAAGTAAATGTTCCAACTAGACTTGTTGTCTTGCTTGTTTTTACTGTTTGGTCCACAAGAGAGAAAATAATCATTATGAACTGTAATAATTAAAAAAAATTCAAAAGAATGTACTTTGCTTTTCAAATATTCAGATTTTTAAAAATCTTACCCTGATTGTTCTTTTCATGTGCACCTGAATAAAGATTGAATTTCTAAAATGCTATTAAAGATAAGGACAATTCTTAGACTTGTTTCACACAGACCTAGGCTTTTGGGAAAAGATGAATTGTCTTCAGCAAATTTAGTCAATACAGATGTGAAAGTAGATCTTGAAGGATGACTTATGTGCAGCATTAGGTGATGGATGGTAGTGAGATGCTATTTTTCTGACATCAACTGGGATGATATAGCAAATTTGAAGGATAATTTTACTACTTTAAAGCTGGAGACTAATTTCTTTTGCTTGTCAATTCTAGTAAGCTAAATAAACACAGCCTGACAGGGAGCTAAGCTACACTGAACTGCTTACCTTGGTTCTGTCTCAAGCTTATGATATACATCCTTACTCCCAAATCAAAGAAAAGGCAACCACATTTCTAACTTTTTTTTTTTTGCTTTCAACTAAGTATCTTAAATATTAGGTTTAGGTCTCTTAATTCTTCTGCCAGCTCTGAGAAGGAATGAATGAGATACTTATTTGTAGATCATTAGCTTAATGTTAAAACAATCTGGACATCTATTAGTGCTACATAAATATATATATATGTGTGTGTGTGTGGGTGGGTGTATGTATATATTTTCAGGCCTGGTATGATGGCTCTATTAGCTAATCATCCCCTTACAAATGCCAGGATATGGGCTCCAGTTCATGTTCCAGCTGTTCCATTTCCCTTTCAGCTCCCTGCTTGTGGCCTAGAAATGCAGTACAGGATGACCCAAGGCCTTGGGACCCTGCACCTACATGGGAGACCTAGATGAAGCTCCTGGCTCTTGGCTTTGGATCAGCTCAGCTCAGGTCATTGAGGCCATTGGGGAGTGAATCAGTGGATGGAAGATCTTTCTCTCTGTCTGCCCTTCTCTCAGTAAATCTGCCCTTCCAATAAAAATAAATCATATGTATATATTTTTTCCATTATTTGGCACAATCATATAACAGACATAAAATGAAAACATAAACCATATCAGATTTTTAAGAATTCTCTCTATGGTACTGGCACAATCTCTCAACTGGCTAATCCTTAGCCGCAAGCATTAGCATCCCATATGGGTGTCCAGCTCTTCCACTTCTACTTACTAGAATTCTGTCTAGTAGAATTAGAGCTCTTGCTACCTGTTAGAGAAGGAACCATAAAAATCTATAAATTATTATATTATTTTCTTCAGATCCAAATGAGAGTTAAAGTGCTAACTGAAAATATAAGTGTATTTATTGTGGCTTGTGGTGCCACGTGTGGGCACTGGAACCAGAGAGAATTCATTTTGAACTTACATTTGCAAAATCTTGTGTTTTTCTATTATCTGGATACCTTTTTTTCTCCCCGTTTATTTCCTCATACCTTCAATCCGTGCTGTTGGGGCAGAGTCGGCTTAGACCTGTTTGAGTGGCTCTGATTTATCGTTGGTAACTTTGAAGGTGTTGGGGACAATTGCAGTTTGGTTGTGGCTCAACAGAGGGAGCAAGAGGAGCTGAAAGAGAGCGAGCCGGAGCGCGTCTGGCGAAGCGTCGCGGGCGCGCCGGAGGAGGAGGAGCGGGTTGGGGGGTGGCTGCCTCCAGCTGCTCCACCCTCACTTTGTCAGCAGGTAGAGCGTGATTGCACTCCCAGGGGAGGCAGTCGGAGCCAGCACACCAATTACAAACCACAGGCTTCCGGCTCTAGGGAGTCGCTCCAGAATTATCTTTCTGGAAGGAAAGCGCTGGATTCCTTCAGAACTTTCCAAGTCCATCCATGATTCAGAGATATTGTCCTCTCTGGGATTTTCTGTGTTTCTGGTGAATTGTTGCTGATGTATTTGCTACTTTGGTGTTTTGTTTTTGTTTCTAGTCTTTGAAGATCTGATCATTCCATTTGCTATTCTGAAAGAAAAAGAACTTTCCTTAGGAGATTTCAAAAGTGATTTTGAATCTTCCATAAATGTTTTTAGAGTTCTTTGGGACAGTAGCTCTCATCTTGGAATCAGTTTCTGCCTTTGACCTGCTTGGATTATTTTTTCAGGCTGCGGAATTTCTCGGCACCCACCTGTAGCGTTGGGGCACTTGGTTTGGTTGCAGAATAAGAAGGTGGAAGAGTGAACTGTACTTGGCTAAGCAATTGAAACCTTTTTAAGCAGGATCTATAAAAGCATAACTGAATTTGTTTCGCCCCCCGTGGATTCCAGTGGGCCCGACAGCACAACAGGTTTGCAGATTTCTTTTGAAATTCCTCCCCTCTCCTCCTCTGCCTCAGCGAAAGAAAAGAATCTGAATAACAGGTTCATGTTCAGTTGCTTGGCTTCCCAGCACCTATTCTGAAGACTTTATAATGTTCTAAACTTGACCTCAGCGTGCAGTGGGCTTTGTGGGTGAAACGCACTTTTATTAAGAATGAACATTTAGAAATCTTATTCTGCATTTGTGTGAAGACCCTAAGTTTCATGTGTGCCTTGAACTAGTGCGAATTTAGTCTCCTCAAATTTGTTTGTATTTTTTGAGGCTGTTCTACTTATGAGCCTGTGATTAATCGTCTCCCTAATTTCCCTCTTGCTCCCCACCTCCTCAAGGAATTTGAAAACGTGTTAGAAAAAGTCCTTTGTTTTTCTTATGAACCTGGAAAATTACAGATTATGAGCTCTGGATGTTAAAGTAGTGTCCAAAAGCATGTCATGGGAAATCACAGTGCTTGGCATTCTCAAAGTGGAGAATAATATCTAGAATGCCTAAGTGAGAATGGAAAATGGAGATAGAAATAAATGCGAATTTTAGCTGGGGAAATAATTGGAACACTAACCTTTTCACACATTCTAATTGCAGTATCTGGAAAAGGTGATGCTCAAAATTATATATGTGAAGTTAAGTAAATTAGCGCCTAATTTCTAAACTCTTGGTAAAACAGAAAAAATTGAACTATATTCAGGTATATAAAATAAGGGGCCTGGAGCTTTGACTACACCCAAAATTCAGTTTAATGTGGAAGCTTTTCTGGATATATCCTGTATCATTGGACGTCTTTCAAGGTGTGCCTCAAATTTTGTTTTATTATTGCTTCTCTCATTACAAAAAAAAAAAATCACAACATTTCTTTAGTCGCTTACCGCTGACAAATGTTGTGGCTTAAAAGGAGCATCTCCTCATTTTCTGACTGCAGCTCTTCACTCTGCCTTGACGCATGGCGTTAGCTGTTTACCTTGCCTTGTTTGGTTCATGAACCTTGGTGTTAGTGCCTCAGCGACTGGATGCATATGGGAAGACCCACCCAAGTGATCTGACACAGTCATACCTCCCGATGTGACGACCTTCAATCCCAAGCGAATTTGGAAAATTTCGAAGATAAGTGCTGATAGCTTTTCTAGTCAAGAGTGAAGATGGGAGAGAATGACATACCTGCCGCAGAAGTGGGCTGAGAACGCCCTCATCTCTGCCCAATCAGGAATGCCACCTGCTCTTGGGAACAGACTATAGAGGAAGGAAAGGCCAACACTACGACTGGGTTTTCTGAAACTGAAGCCTAAATTCTCTTTTCTTGCACTTGTCTGGATCTGAGGACCTGCATTTGGTCTTAGCTAAAGGAAGCAGTATGTATGCCCGAAGTGCATTGCTGCAGCTGGTAGCATGAGTGGTGGCCAGCAGCTGCAGCTGGTTGCCCTCTGGCCCTGGCTGCTGATGGCTACCCTGCAGGCAGGCTTTGGACGTACAGGACTGGTATTGGCAGCAGCGGTGGAGTCCGAGAGATCTGCAGAGCAGAAAGCTATTATCAGAGTGATCCCCTTGAAAATGGACCCCACGGGAAAGCTGAATCTCACTTTGGAAGGTGTGTTTGCTGGTGTTGCCGAAATAACTCCAGCCGAAGGAAAACTGATGCAGGTGAGTATAACTTTTTCATAGACTGCTTTCCATCTGTTTGAAATATGCCTTTTCAAAGCTTGTATCTCAAGTTAAGAACCAGACCCGAGCCTCTGCTGCTTAACTTTCTTTTTATTCCATCTCTGAAGGAAATTGCTTTATAGATATTTTGAAGCACATTTTTATACTCCAGAAGAAAGAAATCTTAGAAATTGTGAGGAAATCATTTATTTATTTTGAACTGATTGGCATAACCATCTTAGATAATATAATACAATCTTTCTTTATAGGAAGGAGATTCTGATCACAATTTTTATATATCTGGATGGAGTGTATGAGCTTGTATTTAAGTGACCCAAGGGTTGTACTTTGCATTCTGTGTACATTCGAAGTGAGCACTAAGAAGGCTGATTTTAATGGTCAGCAGCACCCAGAAATTCTAGAATGCCCTTGAAACATAATTGATTACTGTGTCACTTTGAAAATTCAGTCAAGCTTGATTGCTCTGGCTGGCCTTATACCACGTGTGGCACCCTATTGCTAAGCCCAAAATGGAGAGACCTGAATTACAAAATGGACACAAGGTGTAAGCCTGCCTTCTAGAGCACTTTTGTTTTGTACACACATAATTTTATTATTTTTAAAAATGCGTGTCTAGCAATTTTTTTTATTGCTCTGTAAAAATTTTTGGACACAATTTCTTGGGTTTGCAGGCTGTGGAGTTTGCTGTTCCTGGCCTGTCCTTTACATGTTGGATTTATGAACGGAGTGGGATCATCTCATTTCATAAACCAATTACTTACTCCCCACGTTGGGGACAGAGCCCACAGCTGTGCCTTTCAAATGGGAATTCTGCCTTACTCCATAAAATGATATTGCTTATTGATTCAAGACCATTTTACGAAAGGATCCTTCTTGTGGTACCTTTTTGTTATAGGTTATAATCGTAGGAAGAATGATCTATCTCAGCCTCTAAACTCGGGTTTTTATTTTGTAATGTGAATAGACTATGACAAAGAACCAAAATGTTACATGAATTTAAAGTTTTATCTACTTAGAAACAAAGGCAGGAAAATGAAACAAATTATAGAACTCTTTTCCAAACACGGATTTTAAAAAATATGGTTCAAGGGTTCTTCATTATGCTTCTCAGACAATATTTTGAAGCTGGGATAAATGAAGTGGAAGAAGAATTGGATGAAATGGAAGGTTGTGCTTTAAAAATAATTAAGCCAGAAGAGTCTATCTGAGAAAATGGGGTAAGGTTTTTTGGATTAGATTTTATCTCTTAATTTGGACACTAGGGCAGAATTAGGAATACTTGAATGTTGAAATCACAAATAATTTAGAATCCAGCCGTTAGCACGAAAGCTTCCTTCTACCTTGTCCCTCATCATAGCCTGAAGCTTGAGGTCTATACTCCATTTTAATTTTTATCTTAAATCACTTTACTGTGGTACATTTTACGTTTTGGTACCTCTGAGGTCTTTGGGCACCATCCTAGACTTTGTGTCTTATTCATTTCCTGTGATTACATGTTCAATGGATTAATTACATGCTGCATAAAATAGTTTCTTTTATTTTAAATTTCTTGGCTATTATCATAAAGTGTGTTTTCATAGAGGGAAAGGTGAGCAAGAAGCGGCAGCTGGCGTTTTCTTTGTCATTCATTGTCGTGTCAGTCTTGCTGTGTGTTCTCTTCCTCGGCCCTTCTCCTGACCCGCCAGTCTTGCTCATTGGTGTTTTTTTCTTCTTTGGCTACTAACTTGAGCCTGTCAGTATACATTCAGTCTGGCTTCATTATTTTCTGAGGGGGATCACATTGTACCTTAGTAAGAAATTCCAGACTCAAGCTGGATAGTTTTATGTCACCTTTTCTGTCCACACATGCTTCTTCTGGGTTATTTGTACTTTTTTTTCAGTAGCCTCGTAGTAATATCTGAATATCCTCAGTATTGGTCCTAGTTCTGTTTCTAACTGTAATGGTCACTGTATTTTCTTGGTAGCCTCTTAATCAGAAATTTGAAAAAGAACAACCTCTTGAGTTACATGTGTCCATTTCATGAACTCTTCCCAGGAGTGATATTGTTGTAGGGACACACGGGTTACTACTCTGGAACCCACTGTGTTTGTTCCTTCTCATACTGCATTGCAGCTCAGGTTTACGTAAACGTGGTAACGAAGCCTTCCATTTAAGTGAACTTCTCTTCACATCTCTTAACATTGTGCTGTGTGACACTTTATTTTCTCAGTGAATCGCTGTACCCTAGTATCCAAAAATGTAAAGGTGTTCACTTTTATTGGATTTGATGAATTTTGGATAATTCTACATATGAATTATTTTAACTGCCTGTTAAAAATTGGTTGCCGCCAAAGAGGTAGTCAGGTCTCTGTAAAATTGAGGATGCTATGTAATGGAAAATGCAAGGATATGAGACGAGTAAGTTAATGATTAGAAAAAGAAAAACCTTGCTGTGGTTTCTGGAGTTGCCAGAAAATTGTCTGTGGAAATCAGACATTTCTTTAGATTTTGCTCAATTCATTGAGCATGTGTACAGTCTTTTAAGGGCCAAATTAATTGGACTTTTATTTGCATCTCTGTTTTAATTTTCTAAAGGGGAGATACCTTTTGATATCCCCTGTATATTCAAGGGCATTGAAAGCCAAGACTTGCTGAATGTCTGTGCTCATTTTTATCCCTCACTCTACAGTCTGTCTTTGCCAATAAAAACATAGATGTTATAAGGTACATCCACAGTTTTGCAAGGTAACGTACTTCTGAATATTACTAGAAAAAGATTAGAAGATAAATACAAAAAAAAAAAAAGATTAGAAGAGGAAATCTGGTCTTTGCAACAAATGTTCCCTATTTCTCAGGTCTTCTGTTTTGCTTGTCAAAACTTCTTGTCTTAACTCCTGACCAATTAGTTATGCTACTTTCCTTTGTGTTTTGCCTGAAAGTATTGAAATATCATTTCAAACCCCTAAGCAAGTTTGCCATTGTCTTTAAAGTCTAATTCTTAGGTTTCTCCTACATTTGCCAGTCTTTCCCTGATTTCTTTCTACTTCTCTATTTTCCATTCTGTTTGTGCATCTTGCATAATTTTCCACTGATATCTGGATCAGTATTTCCCTATTAATATTTTCTCTGATCAATATTTCTCTAGTCATCAAGGCAGACATACAGGTCAAGGATGTTTTTCCAGGTTTCTTGATTACTTGGTGGTGACTGATAAAGAGGACCAAGGGATGGTGACCATGACTTAATTCCATTTTAATTTCCACTTGAACGTAACTCTTTTTTTTTTTTCTTTTTGCCTTTGTAGGTGGAAAACATACTGGAGCTTGTGTCATGTTGGTTTCTAGTTTTCTCATGTGTTTATCTCTTAAAATATTTGTGACTATACTTCCAGTAGTATTATTGACACTTCTAAAAGTGATTACAATCATGTTTTTCTTCTCAACCTTGTTACTTAATTGTATTTTTAGAGATATAACTCAAAATTATCTCTTTTCTCAGCGCATAAGGGTAAGATGACCTTAGTGCAGCACATTCTTCCTGCTCAGCTGGTTGTCCTGGATTCTCTTAGACTCTGGGATGCAGTTATGATCAAGATTAGAATGTGCTGCCCTGAGGCTCAGACCTACAGCAGGGGCAATGGTAGGTTAGCGGTTGACCAGTAACAGTGAACACCTCCTGAGTAAATTCCTCTTTCCAGATGTCTCTGCTTGCCTCTTAATTTTACTTATTAGTCAACACATAGTTATCCCATCTTTGCATTCTTACTTTACTTGTAACCAAGGCCTGGAGCTTTATAATTAGAGCTTTGAACAAAGCCTAAGAGACAATCTTACATAGCAAACTGTAGCTGACAAAGTGACTAAACATAGCTTAAGGGGTTTTTCAAAAAATTTTTTTCATTTGAAAGGCAAAGAAAGAGAGACAGTGAATGACAGGAAGAAAGAAAAAGAGATTGTTTACCTGCTGGTTCATTCCCCAAATGCTAGAAGCAGTCAAGGCTTGGCCAAGCCAAAACCAGGAGTTCAAAATTCAATCCAAGACTCCCATGTGGACGGCAGGGACCCAGGCACTTCGGCCATCTCCTGCTGCCTCCCCAAGGGCACATTAGCAGCATGCTGGTTTGGAAGTCAAGGAATTAGGAATCAAACCTGATACTCCGTTGTGGGATGTGTACCCTGAGCCATGTCTTAATCCTGAGCTGAGCCAAGTGCCAAATAACTACTACTGAAAGAAATCGTTTTTTGAAATTTTAATTTTATTTGAGACAGACGCAGTTCTGATTCTGCCACCAAGTGGTTGTGTGATTTGGATAAAACAGGCTTTACCTATTCTGAATTTTATATTCCCTGCCTTGTAAACTTAAAGCCTTGAAATATAATAGCTGTTAAATAGTGTGTTTCAGTTGTACAAGTACATTTCACTTGTATTGAGTTCTCATAATAACTTCATGGAAGATCAGTACTTAGTGCTACAGATGGACTGAATAGCAGTATAGGCGCTCAGAAGTGATTTATTTCCAAAGTAGGAAGGAATGAAAACAGCGAGTCCCATCCTGAAACTGATCCGGAATACGCAAAATCCTACCACCTTAACAATCACTACATTCTGTTTCTCTCATTCTGCATTTCCTTTGCAAAAATTTGCGTGAATCAGAATGTTTATTTACCCCGTATCCCCCTTTTAATGTAATATCTTCCATTACCTTTCTTTTCACTTTAAAACAATCCTTAGTAAGTCAACCAATATAGGAACCTGAAGTAATGAATTTTATTTTCAAGCTTATTTATTTATGTTTATTTGCTTGAAAGTTAGGGTGATATATCCTCCTTCCTCTGGATCACCAACAAAAAGTCCACAATAGGCAGGACTAAGCCAGGCTGAGGCCAGGAGCCAGGAGTCCCATCTGGCTTCCCATGTATGTGGCAGAGACTCTACCCCGGCCCCCCCCACCCCCCGCCGATTCCATCTGCCTCCTATGGGGCGCGTCAGCAGGAAGCTG